CTGCATCGGCAGGCGGACTCTCAACCACTGCACCACCAGGGAAGCCCCATGCTGGCCTTTTTGCTTCTCCTAAAACATATCGGGCATTTGTCAAGCCCTGGATAGTGGCTGTGTCCTCTGATCTGGACATATTTCCCCTAGCTATCTGTGTGGTTAACTGCCTTATTTCTCTTAGCCTCAGAGGTTTCTATCACAGAGTCCTGCCCCAACCACCCTGTCTGATATGATACTTCCACTGACCATCTGCCATCCTCCATCCTCATCCTTGCTTTATTCTCCTTTACTACTGACAGATTATGTGCTTATTTGTTTAATAGTCTGTCTCACCCACTTCTGCACTAAAATGTAAACTCCGGGAGGGTAAAGATTTTTGTTTCTTTTGTTTCTCATTGTATCCACAGTGACTAAGACAGTGCCTGACACATCACAGGCAATCAGCAAATGTTTGATGAATGCCTTGGTCCCCTCCGTGGGTGATTTTTGACCTGCCACTTGTTCTCTTTTCCACGAGCAGCGCTTCATGGTTAGAGACGCGTCCAGAACTAGGAGGACTCTATAGTTATGTCTCTGGACAGCTGCAGAATTGATGTATTTAAGGGTTTATTTTTCTAAATCTGAAGAAGAAAAACCTACAAAATACACACATATTGAATGCACTCTTGACCCATATTCTCCTCGCCTTACCGCCCACCTCATATAAAGTGCATTCTCAAAGCATCAATCACAAATGATTCGGTCAGGGTGAAGAAAGACCTCAGATATACAAATAAATTACAAGAATTCTTAACTACCATGGGAACTCATTGACTGTGGGATTGTAGAAAAAAAGATACATATAAATATTTGCACAATAAAAACCATGTAAACTAATTTCCTGAATGTTTGAGAATCCTTACCAGTCAGAAATTGCTCTTATTTGATTGGAATGGAGAGGAAGTGATGGAGAAAGATACTAAAAAACTAGTCTAAAGTGGCTTTAGCTAGCAGACTAACAGACAGCGTCTACTGCAGGGCTGAATCAGTTCAGACTCAAAATCTAGTGCCTTTCTATGCCTGGGTTACAGTGTAATGAGAAGAGAAACTCAACCAAATCCCGTACTAGCAAACACAGGTTCGATTGTGCACATTATTCTCTATTCCAGTAGATTTTAGATTACCGTCAACAAAGATTAAATGATTAATTGTGAATTACCCCCTTTCCATGGGTATTAAAAATTAATCAAAGACTTAACAGAATCTTCTCCAGTTGGCTGGCATCCACTGCCGCCTCTGAAGCTAGGATTCAAAGAAAACAGATGTTAGAATGATAGCATTTTGAAGCCAGAGGGATTCTCAGACCTCATTTTACAAAGAAATAAATGAGAGAGAGGTTGGAAAGGTCAGACTCAGAAGATTCCTTCTCCAAGTATCCATGAGATGGGACCTTAATGGTGTGCCGAGGCTCTGGGGAGGGACCAGAGCCCAACTTTGAGAGCAGTCATTGAGGAGCAGCTGAGGCATCGCAGGAAACAGCATTGGATTTGAAGTCTGAGGACCTGGGTTTAAAACACTACGCTCATCACTGATTAACTGTGTAACACTGGGCAGGCTCTTCACTAGAAAGAACCCGTTTCCTAATTTATAAAATAAGGGTAATGAAGACACAAGGTGACCATGAGAGCTAAGTGGAAATACCACTCATGACAAAAAGTTAAAATTTAATCTCTGCTTACTCCATACCAGCATATGATCCTGGCACTTTCCATGTGTTATCTTTTTGGGTTTGCAAAGTCAGTGGTACTAGCCCTCTTTTGCAGATGAGGTAATTGGGGCCCAGAGGGTTTTAAAACACACTCAAGGTCATACAGCCAGTAGATGATATTGCACAGTTAGGTTCTAGATCTGTGGGACTTCAGAAGCTCTCCCTCACTCTCTGAAACTCATGCAGCACATGGCAGAGGCTTCAGAAGTGTTTCATGAATAAATAACCTGTTGTGAGGAAATATATCAAAGAAAAATAAGGCATCAATTTAATTTCCCTGGAAAGCTTTGTAAACTTCTGAAAAGCCATGTGCACCAAATAAATCACTGCCAAAGGCCTTTTTAATCCAGAAAGAAATAAGCCAAATCACTGATATTTCAATGTTGAGATTAATGCATCCAGAAAACAGCCCTTGGACCCCATCTAAAGGCACTTTGCTAAGCATTGATTCATTAATCTGACAGAATCATTTTAAAAGGTCAAATTAGGGCTTCCCTGGTGGCGCGGTGGTTGAGAGTCTGCCTGCTGATGCAGGGACACGGGTTCGTGCCCCGGTCCGGGAAGATGGCCGCTGGGCCTGCACGTCCGGAGCCTGTGCTCCGCAGCGGGAGAGGCCACAGCAGTGAGAGGCCCGCGTACCGCAAAAAAAAAAAAAAAAAGGTCAAATTAACATTTTATGGGACATATGTATACTTTATGGTATGATAGGCTTTCTTTTATAATTCATATGGACAGTATATTTATCCTTGTATTATGGGATTTTAAATTATTACAGAAGAGTTTATAGTTTTTATATATTGTATTTTGCTTTGATGTTTATATTTAGCCAGACTTATAAAATGCCAAATTCTTGATAAAGGCTGTGATCTTTACATTTTTTACTATATAATTTCTGTGGGAATGAATATGATCTACTTTATAATAATCTACTTTAAAATATGCCTACATTATGGGACAGGGGAACATTCCATAGCTCCTCTCCCCTCCACTCGGGGGTGGATAGGGCAGGTAGAGTGAAGAAGTGAGGGGTTGGTGTTGTCTTGCCCTAGTTTAGTTTTATATGATCCTGAGGTTTAAAAAGTTAACTCTGCTGTTTTTGTTGAGAGCTAGTGGGAAAAGAAGGGAAAACAGGGGTGTAGCTGTTTGTGATATAAAGTATCTTCAGGGGGTTGGACTGAAAAAGAAGAAGATGAAGGAAAGCAGAGAGTTGCATTTTAGGAGTGAGGTTTCTAAGTCAGTGTTTGAGCTGAAAAGCACATAGGCACGGGGAGGGCGCTCACATTCTCAAGAGGCCTCTGAGAATTAAGACCATCAAGGGATGGTAAATGTGCACCTCCCACCTCATATTGGATCTGGGATTTATGTTCATCAAGACCTGAAAGATGCCTGCCCTGTTGACATCTTTGTCTCTACTTTTCTCCGAGCCAGGCTGGTACCATTGCACTCCCATCAGTTGAAAGTGTGTGTGGTGTGACTCACGATTATCCTGTCCCTGCCGTTCTCCACCTGGAGGAGGGCCACAGAAGTGGTTCTTAAACTGTGTTCCGTGTTCACTGCAGTCCAGGGTCCAGAGCAAGGCGAGTGGTTGTGGATTGGTCATCCCCACTTCCTGCCACACCTGTTCACCTCAAGCCCGGCTCTGAGTATATTGAGTTCTTGATAAGATATGTTTGAAAACAGGGTGTGGCTGCTTAAGGATTTTTTTTTTTTGAAACTTTTTTGAAAACCATCTGTAAACCAAAAATGCTGGGGTTTACCTCTACTTCTTCCCTATCAGTGTGTTTGGGAAACGTTACTTAGTCTTTCTAGTTTCAGTCTCCTCGTGTGTAATATGATGGCTTTGGCCCAAATGCCCTAAATGTAAGAGACCTTTGCTAAGAACCAGCTAAGTCAGAGAAATTTCTGTAAACGCCGCTAGCAGCATTACTCTGGTTTTACTAATACCGAATTATGATAACAGCACATATACTGCTCTCGTGCCTTGCATGTTACTGAGATAATGAGGAAATTAACTGAGGAGTCATTTTCTCTTTAGTTTCTTCATTAGTGAATAAAACAGAAGTAATGACCTCAGTGATAAAAGGCAGGGAAATGAGCTACAGTCTCTGTTACAAGGGACTCTCTTTTCTAGAATGTAATTGCATATTTACTCAAGATATTTTTATGAACAAAGAATGAACAAAAACTTTTTCTTAGCAGTTGACTAACATTTCTTCCATAATTGTTTAGCTCTTTTTTTAAATAAAAACATTCTTTTTTAAAAAAAACTATCTTGGATTCGTCTTCTCGTCAGTGATTTAATAAAAAGTGGCTGGACTATGTGATGCAGAGTTTTCAAAAGAGTAAAATCTGCTGAGGCAAAGAGCATTTGTGTGTTGCTTAGGAATATTTACGTAACATTTAAAAGGTTCTACTATTTGACATCTTAATTAAAACGTTTGTGCGTACTTTCAGAATAGCATTGATTTTGACCTTGGCAGCTAATGTCAGATTAGATGATTTGTAAGTGGGCAGCGCTTGCATCTCTGCTTTTGTTTTCATGTCTTTCAAAACACGTCTCTACCCTCATCACTCACCACTTGGCTGCTGTTTCCCCAGGCTTCTGGAGGCTTCCATTCACAGGCTTTTTCCTGACATATTTGAGCAAGACAGAGCTGACTATGTCTGGAGCACCCTCTTGGGGGCAGACTTATTGAAGGGAAACTAAACAAGTTTCCGTTCAGTTCGACGCTGCAATCGTATTACATCTCAGTGCAAGGGAGAAAGAATGGATTTCATGAGACACAAAAGTTAATTGGTTTTTCGCCTTTGTTTCCATCAGGTCAGCCACCATCCACCTATTTCTGCATGTCACGCTGAGTCTGGAAATTTTGTTTTCTGGCAAGGTAATGTGCTCATATATTTGACTTCTGTCATTTTGTGTAATGGTATAATTTATTTTATTCAGGAACTACTGTAAATGCTTGTTAAGGTCAAAAGTGGGCCCTGGACTTGGGCCTCACTGGAAGCAACTGTACCACTTGATATTCTTGCCTCTCACCTCTGAACAATAACTGCCGTTTGTCGACTTCAAAATTCAAGATTCTGGAGGTTAACTTAGTTGTTCTCTTCTTTCAAAATCCTCAGTCTTTGTCTGGGCCACCACCATTGTTTATTGCTATAATTTTCCCTTTAGCTCATTCCATGGCCATTTGAAATGCTTCATGTATTTCAAGACATTAAATATTTACAGTTATTTATCAGATTCTAGACAGCAGAGGGTTCTTTTGCTTTTGAAGCTTTAAATTTTATTTCGGAAATTTTACATTGCTGACTTTTTTTTTCAGTTTGGGGTTGTTCCTGTATTCAGTTTATTATATTTTGAACTTGGGAAGGGATGGCTTGCTCTGAAGAATATATAAGGCTGCAAATATTTCCTAAATGGATTAATTTTGTTAAATTATTTATTCCAAAGTCAGAAGGTGCTATAGAAAGAAAATTTGAGCATCTCTGCTAACTGGTTAACACCTGATTTGCCACACTGCCTTTTTTTTAATGCATCTATAAAATTTAAAAGATGAGAAAGAGTATTTTGTGAAAAAATTTCCTTCCCCCATTCCAGTTCGTAGCCATCCAGTTTCTGTCTCTGGACACAATATTACAACAGTTTAGGTTACAAGTACCATGGTTTCCTTTCTGAGTCTTTGCTACTAAAGTTTAAAATTGAAGCTTGACTGGAGACTTCTCTTTCACCGAAACCCTCTGGAAATAATTCCCATAAGATCTCTAACCTCCTAATTGCTGTGTCATTGACCTTGTTAGCACTTTATTATTATTTTTTTAAGTTAGGTATTAGGTAATGGGAGGGGTCTTCTTCAAGTACTTCCTGTGTGCTCCTTACATCAATCAGAATTTTCTCCTCCACTCCCTTTGCTTCTTCTTCATCAGCTTCTTCCTGGGCAATCCCGTGTCTCCATAAGCCCACAACTGTCAAATCTTGCTTTTTTTTATCCACTTTGACATTTTCCTGCCTTTTGATTAGGTTGTTTAGATCACTTACATTTATTGTGATTATCAACATAGTTGGATTTAAATTTGGCCTCTTGTTATTTGTTTTCTGTTTGTCACATCTGTTCTTTGTTCCCCTTCTTTTTTTACGTTCTTTTGGATTAATTATTTTCTGTGATTCCATTGTATATCCTTTGTTGCCTTATTAGCTCTACTTCTTTGTTCCATTTTTTAGTTGTTACTTTAGGATTCATATTATATATCTTTAACATATCACAGTCTCCTTTCAAGTGATATTATGCTACTTAACATATAGCAAAGGCAGCTTACAAAAGTGTACTTCTATTTCCCCTTCCCCAACGTTTGCTATTGTGGACAAACATTTTACTTACATATGTTATAAACCCTGTCATACATTGTTACTAATTTGCTTTAAACAACCAATTATCTTTTGGGGGGTAACAGCTTATTGGGATATAATTTATAGGCTATACAACTCACCTAATTAAAAGGTACAAGTCAGTGGTTTTTCATGTATTCACAGAGCTGTACAATCATCACTACAATCAATTTTAGAACATTTTCATCACTCCAAAAAGAAACCTCTTTTCCCACCTTTTAGTGGCTCCCCCCCACCCCCACCCCCACCCCCCCCGCCTTCCAATTTCTGTCAAGCTCTTCCGTCCTTAGGCAACCACTGATCTTCTTTCTGTCCCTATAGATTTGCCTAGTCCGGACATGTCATATAAATAGAATCATGTAATATGTGCCCAGGAGCTTCCTGGTCCCAGCCCACCTCTCTCCTGGACCACGGCCATGACCCCCTACTGTCCTCCCTGCATTCACCTTTGCTCCCCTATGGTCTGTGTATTGTCACCCAGCAGCCAGAGGGATCGTCTGCCTCTGCCCTTCTTTTTCTATTCCCTGTCTCTCTGATGGCACTATCATTCATGCAAGTTGGAAGAATCTGAGATCATCCACAAATTCTCTCCGTCTTTCACAATCAGCATCTAATTTGTCACCCAGTTTTATCTCTGCTTCTTTAATGGTTCCAGGATCATTCCCTTCTACTCCATCCCTACCACCCCTGTCCTGGTTCACTTCATCCTCATTTATCCCTTGAGCATACAGGTCACCTGCTTCTCATCTCTCCTGCTCCTGTTCCATTCTCCATACTGCTGCCAATTATCTTGGCAAAGTCTGTATCTCATCACATCAATTCTCTGTCTAAACAAAACCTTATTTCCCCCAGTGCACCCAAATCAGACTTCTTAGCCAAGCTTGTAGAGCCCGCTGTTTTTTGCACTCAAGCTGTTTTTCTACTCTTCTAGAGTCTAAACAGTCTGAGACCCAGAGGACAGAACCACACCCTGTTCTCTCGTGTCTTCTCATGTCTTCTGCCTTAAACTGCTTTTTCTCTGCCCAGTGAACTGTTTATTCTTCAAGCCCAGTTTAAGCGGCCCCTTTAGACAAGCCTCTTCTGATGCCTTCCCCAAGCATGTTGGGCTCTCCTTCTCTGGTTCCATTTCACCTTACAACGTACCCAGTTATGGCCCGTGCCTCTCTGGGGGGCCTTACTCGTTTTCACTTCTGTATGCCTTTCGCACTGTGAGTTCTTCCAAGGGAGGGACTTTATAATTTTAGTTTCTCTGATTCTGTTCCAGGTACTCAGTTGCTACTTATATTGAATAATAATGAATTTTATTATGAAGAGATTGTCCTATATTGTGGTTGATCATTTATCCAGCCTAAGAACGCTTTGATCTACCTAGCTCTCCTGCTAAATATGTAACATTTGGTATTATTTCATTTCAGACATGAGATGGAAGAACAAATTCTGGGGCAAATCCATGGAAATTGTTCCCATTGGCACAACCCATGTGACTCTGCCAGCGTAAGTTCTCCTTCTGTGGTTAGGAACTTTATAGAATTTAGGGCCCAGGTTTAGGAACAGGATTCCCATTGTCCCCCGTGGTGCTGAGTGTGTTTTTTTTTGTTAATGTGTTTGACAGTAGCTTCAAATGTTCTTCATTTTGACAGTCTCACATTTTTGTTCTCTCTAATGGAAATGCTTCCTGGACACCAAAGTTCCCAAGTAGGGGCTTTAAAAAATACATTTCTACTTTCTAACACAATTAGGAATGATAATATTACTTTAGCACTGTTGTCCTGCCTCACTGTCCAAAAAATTTTTAAAGAAAGCTCTGGCCTTGATCTTTAGGGATTATTGATACTTATTCATAAAGCAAAATGGTAATCATTATGGCCTCTGGAACTGGGCTCCTGCGACTCATGTGCTCACACCACTACTTACTAGTTGCAAATCCTTGGGCAGGTTACTTAACCTTTCTGATCACCAGTTCTCTTATCTGTGAAACAGGGATAATGAGCCATCTACTTCATAAGACTGTTGCGAAGGTTAAGCAGATACAGAAAGCACTTAAAATAGTAATTGGCGGGCTTCCCTGGTGGCGCAGTGGTTGGGGGTCCACCTGCCGATGTAGGGGACACGGGTTCGTGCCCCGGTCTGGGAGGATCCCGCATGCCGCGGAGCGGCTGGGCCCGTGAGCCATGGCCGCTGAGCCTGCGCGTCCGGAGCCTGTGCTCCGCAACGGGAGAGGCCACAGCAGTGAGAGGCCCGCGTACCGAAAAAAAAAAAAAAAAAAAAATAGTAATTGGCACATATTATGTGTCATTTAAGTGTTTGGTCTTGTTACCATTATCCTCGTAATTATTATTTAACTCCGTAAGTCATATCTGAATACCTTCTCATTGTAAAAGATTTAAGATATATGTATCTTAAGAGTAATATGTAAAATATATGTGTGTGTGTGTATGTATACAGACACACCTCAGAGATATTACGGGTTTGGCTCTAGACCACTGCAATAAAGCAAATATTACAATATAGTGAGCCACATGAATTTTTTGGTTTCCCGTTGCTTATGGAAGTTATGTTTTATATACTTCATAGACATGAAGGGAGCAGATGCTGTTGGAAAAATGCTGCCAATAGACTTGCTCTACACAGGGTTGCCACAGACCTTCAACTTGTAAAAAACGCAATAAAGCGAGACCTGCCTGTATACATATGTGCCTAAATATACACACCTACACGTGTATATACATAAGTATATATGTGCATGTGTGTGCCTGTATGTACACATTCGTGTGTGTGCACATATATGTGTGTAGAGAGCACACTGTGGAAAACCCCTCTACCCTCCCCTTGCCACTCTCCTTTCATAGTTTGGTGACTTTCGACACGTCTCCTCTGGCAAAGGACAGAGTGGGTTGTTCCAGGAGACCTCCAGCTTCTAGTGGAGCCTCTGGCAGCCTCCAGGGTCTGACCTTCACCCACCTCCCAGCCTCCTGAGAGGGTGAAAGCTCTTAGACTGCCCAGCATGGCTCAATCGGTGTTGGTTCCATTAATGAAGGAATGAGTAATTCATTACAGGACTTGTTTTTTAAGTAGCAGTGCTTGTTTGCATTTGCTGATGGCTGCTCTGGTAGTTGTTACTTTCACTTTTTCTTCCTTTAGTTTTGGAGATCATTTTGAGTGGAACAAAGTGACCTCTTGCATCCATAACATCTTAAGTGGGCAGAGGTGGATCGAGCACTATGGAGAGATTGTTATCAAGAACGTGAATGATGATTCCTGCCACTGCAAAGTGAACTTTATAAAGGTAACCTGGGTGGCCTGTGAGCTCTGGCGCTGGACAGGCCTCGGCAGAGCTGGGCCTCAGGGCACAGGGTGTCTTGGGAAGTTTTTCACCTTCACTTTTGTGCCAGTAGACAAGCAATGCCAGGTGCTCCCTGGTCCCAGCCCCACCTCTCTCACCTGGACCAGGGCCATGGCCCCTCCTGGGCTCCTTCCTTCCACCTTTACTCCCCTATGGTCTGTCTTCAGTGTGGCAGCCAGAGGGACCCTGTTGAAACATGTCATCATGTTACAGTACGGATGAGCCTTGAACACATTATGCTAAGTGAAATAAGCCAGACACAAAAGGACAGATAATGATTCCATTTATGTAAGGTACCTGGAGCAGCCACATCCATAAAGACAAAGTAGAATGGTGGCTGCCAAGGGCTGGGGACTGGAGGGAATGGGGAGTCATTACTTAATGGGTACTGAGTTTCAGTTTGGGAAGATGAAAAGTTCTGGAGATATAAGGCAATGGTCACACGACATTGTGAATGTACTTAAAGCCACTCCATTATACGCTTAGAAATGGTTAAAACAGTAAATATTATGTTATATATGTTTTACCACAGTTTTAAAAAATGCAAGTCATGCCACATTTGACCAAAATCCTCTGACAATTTCCATCTTTCTCAGAGCAAAAGCCTGCAGAGTCTGCACTCCTCAGAGTCTGCACTCCTCACCCCCACCACCCCTCACTCACACACACACACACACACACACACACACACACACCCCACCCTCATTCCTCTCCAACCTCAACTCCTGCCACCCCTCGTTCCCTTTCTTGCTCACCATCCTGGAGCTGCACTGTCCTTTTTCTCTCTCCATTTCCTTCTGCTCGGGCCCCTCTCCCCAGATCCTTCCGTCCACCTTGTTAGTCACCCTCTATCGTATCCCATTTTCTTCAAAGTGTTCATCACCATCTGCAGTTGGCTTGCTCGCTGTTGCTTTACTTGCTTATTTTCTGTTCCCCACACCCTCCTTGCCATTCCTGACTCCAGAAAAGCAGAAGCCTGGTCTGTCTTGCCCACGGCTGTGGCCAATGCCTGGCAGTGGTGCCCGGCACACAGCAGAGGCTCATGAACATTCACAGATTCTCCTGGAGCAGAGAGCCTGGAATAGTCTGCTTACCTTTCCAGCTTTCCAAATTCCTTGATTTGAGCCCTCTCCCCAACTTCTCTTCCTCCTGAAATTCCCTCTTGTCCTTAAAATTCTCATGTGTACAAAATGGCCTTAAAGTGCTACCCTCCTCAAGGAATATTTGCATTTAATTAAGATCAAAATCATAAGCCAAGAGATTAGGTTTCTAACCGTGGAGTTTCACACGGTACCTCTCTGCACCGTCTGTAGCAGGTGGGGGACATTATGGAGAGGTGGATGGGGGTCTTTATTATATCCTATAAGTCAAACTGGGTTGTAGATAGACACAAAGCTGGTAGTGATTTGGCGTAAAATACAAATGACCCTGCCGTGAAAGCTTCATCTAAGCTCTCTACAAAAAGAAGCAAAGGCCACATGGAGCAGGGATATAAATAACTGGGAGATAGATAGATAGAGAGAGAGAGAGATAGATAGATAGATATCCAGGGGAGAGCCGCCTTGTTCTCAGAATTTTCCCCAAGGAAGTGTGCTCCACTCCCATTTCTACCAACCACTTGGTACCCGTCCACTGAGGACCAGGGAACACATTTTCATAGTGATGAGAGACGAACAGAATTAGAACACTAGACGTGCCTCTGGTGTTGAAAGAGAATCTGAAAGCAGAGGCAGCCGTTGCCTGTGGAACGTGACTGCCTCCCTCTGTGGCTTCCCATCCTTGGACTTGTTGGCAAATATCTCTAAAGAGGAAATCTGACTCCTGCTTTAGAATAAACTGAAGAGCCTGGACAGTGTTTGTTTCCCTGTCCCCCGTCTTTACATGACTAGAGAACTCACTGTTACCTTTCTGATTCAGCTCTGGGGCGCTGCTGTAGTCTGCCCTTCCTCCCATTTTTACCACAGACTTGGTTGGAATGGGGAAGCCAGTCTACCAGATATGGCCTGGAAATGTCACTCAACTTTATTGGTTTCCAAATGTGGATTCTGTTTTGGCTGAAAATAGTAGTAGGATTTTTTGATTTATGGAGTAATGCCTTCTGGTCTTTTGCAGAGATTTTTAGGGCAGCCTTGTAATTGGGAGAAGTTTAAAAATCGACACTAGGGAGTTAGAGCTCCCTCTGCTGGCTGCGGTGTGGTACTGTATATGTAAAACGCACAAGGCTGAGCCAAGATGAGCTGGTCTCAGACCAGGACCAATTCGTAGTGGGAATACGGGTTGTATAAGGTTCCTATAAGTTAGGTGAACAGATCTGGTTTGGGGGAGGTGGGGGAAACTAATAGGAGGAACTGAAAATTGATTGCTTTACAAACTTGGTTAAAAAAATTCATTGGTTTACAAAGGATTGTCTAGTTCCTTCAGAGAAAAAATTACATGAGTTACATTTCTTTTAAACTGCAATAGTCAGAGCCACAGTGACAGCCAGGAAATAGCTGTTCCGGAGGGGGTGCTAAGGGCCAGCCCCTGCTTGGTGTATGTGTGAGAACTGAGCCTTTCCTTTCTACTGTGTAAAAAATTGTGTCTTACACAAATGTTGGTGGTTGAGTTACAAACTGTAAATAAAGTGCTAGCTTTTTACTTTTCATTAAATAATTAAAAGTATGATTAAAAAGAAAAACAGAACCAGCAAACCCTATGTAGCATAGAGTCATTCTTATGGTACTTTTTCTCTCCTCTTTTGTTTTCTCTTAATATCTGTAATAAATTGACCCCAAAACACTAAACAGATGCCTCTCATTTGACTTCTAGGCAAAATACTGGAGCACTAATGCCCATGAGATTGAAGGTACAGTATTTGACAGGAGTGGAAAAGCAGTGCATCGGCTATTTGGGAAATGGCATGAGAGCATCTACTGCGGTGGTTCTTCCTCGTCCACTTGTATCTGGAGAGCGAGTTAGTATCTGGTTAATCAGCCCCAAGCAAAAGGAGGCGGGACGTGGCCAGAGGAACCGCACGTGGGTGGGCCTTAGTGTCCATTCGGTGTATCTAGCCTCTGCCTGCTTTGAACTATGTTGGAGCTACTGGTCCATCTTTCATTCACCTAGTTATATCTCAGACTCATCCTCAAGCTTAACAATACCTCTGTTGGGTTGATAGGTCCTGGGTTCTTAATCCCAGAACAAAGACATTGCTAATCCGTGGTCACTGTGTCTTCCAGTCAACACACATCATTCCTTCACCTACACTGGGCACTATGAAGGAATATCAATGAGGTACAAGAAGTCATTCTAGAGTAAAGATAAAGGGAAAATTGTAGAATGACCTACAAGAGTTAGGGGTCCCTAGACTCTCCCAATACCATAAGCCACTCTAGTCTCTCCTGTAATTCTAGAAGGATGCTAAGTGCTTGAAGCAGCTGAGGGGAAAAGGGGGAAGGAAGTCAAACCTTCATAATGGCTTAAAGCATTAGGATATGTGCTATGCACTTAACAATAAATGGCAGGGGGTGGCCCCGGGGTTGTTACACAGGCAGGTTACCTGTGTCAAGAACACAGGTCATTGAGGGCCCATCTGCCACTTCCAACTTGGCGGTGATGTTTCTTCCCATGGATGCAAAATGGTTGCCTCGGTTCAATATCGTATCCCCCCTGTGACAGCTCACTAAGCAGGGGAGAAGGGAGGACAGAAGAGCTTTCTTCAGTTGTAACTGTCTTTTCTCAGGAATGAAATATTTCCTAGGATCCTGCAGCAAATGTGTCTTCATATCTCATCAACCTGAAGTGGGTCCAAACCCATCCCTTAACCAATCCTGGGCAACTGGGTCGGCAGGAGAGATTCAGATGAGTTTAGATTCATCCCCTAGGGAGTGTACAGTGACACCCAAACAGATGAGTTTGCCATTAGCAAGTAAGAAAGGGAGATGACTGTGGAGTGGGCAAGCAACAATGTCTCTTTCAACGGGTAGCAGCCACATCTTCCACCGTCGCAGAGGTTGCCACGAAGCTAGAATGACTTGCACCATGGCCGCCTTCCTAGCTTCAGAGGTTCAGAGGCACGCATGGCATTTTATGAATGAGACACTTGCTCTCCTTAGCTTAAAGAATGTATCACAGGGCTTCCCTGGTGGCGCAGTGATTGAGAGTCCGCCTGCCGATGCAGGGGACACGGGTTCGTGCCCCGGTCTGGGAAAATCCCACATGCCGCGGAGCGACTGGGCCCGTGAGCCATGGCCGCTGAGTCTGCGCGTCCGGAGCCCGTGCTCCGCAACGGGAGAGGCCACAACAGTGGGAGGCCCGCGTACCACAAAAAAAAAAAAAAAAAAAAGAATGTATCACAGATGAGAGCTACCATGGGCTCTGGGTGTTAAAGTAGTACCTTGACGACAGTGTGTAAGCTGTTATTCTAGTTGCTGTTGTTGTTATTCATTGACTTTATGTCTCTGCCTTGGCTATGAGCATCCCTGGCCTGTCTGCAAGAAAAACCACTGTCTCCACTCTGGTGATTGGGAGACTGGGATGGATTTTTGAAGGCATAGTAGGAAGTTTGCTATTATTTTTATGCTTAGGATCCACAGAGAATTAGAATTAGACAAAGTGGACTTCTGAAGCTTCAGAAAATGGGTCTTCAGAAAAGTTCGTGGAAAGCATTTGTATATGTGGACAGCTAGAGCTAAGGCTACGAGTGGATTGGATTAGTCTACATTTGATTTATCCAATACGTAAATTTGGGTATTTTTAGCTTGACTTTTAGTTGTATTCATCCCCTAGGGAGTGTAAAGTGATGCTAAGTGTTTGAAGCAGCTGGGGGGAAAAGGGGGAAGGAAGTCAAACCTTCATAATGACTTAAAGCATTAGGATATGTGCTATGCACCTAACAATTAAATTAAAGTTAACAATTAATTAAAGTTAGGGCAATACGTCTGCATTAATCTGCTTGGGCTGCTGTAACAAACACCACAGACTGGGTGGCTTAAACAGCGGAAATTCATTTGCTCACAGTTCTGGAGGCTGGGTGCTGGCAAATTCGGATTCTGGTGGGAGTCTTCTTCGTGGCTTGGCTGCCGGATCAGGGCCCACCCTTCTGACCCCATTTAACCTTTGTTACTCCAGAGGCCTCATCTCCAAAGACAGCACTCTGGGGGTGGGGCTTTAACATATGAATTTTGAGAGAACATAAACATCCAGTCCATAACATTCCGCCCCTGGCCTCCCAAAATCATGTCCTTCTTACGTGCAAAATGTGTGTATTCCACCCCGGCAGCCCCAGAAGTCTTGACTCATTCCTGCATCAACTCTAAAGTCCAAAGTCTCATCCAAATATCATCTAAATCAGGTATGGGTGAGATTTGAGGTATGATTCATCCTCTCCAGCTGTGAGCCTGTGAAACCAAAATGTGCTTCCAAAACACAGTGGTGGGATGGGCATAGGATAGACGTTCCCATTCCAAAGGGAGAAAGAGGAAAGAAGAAAGGGATGACAGGTCCTAAGTGAGTCCAAGACCTAGCACGGCAAATGCTGTTGATCTAAAAACTGGAGATCATCCTCATTGGCTCGATGCCCCACCCTCTGGGCCCACTGGGACTTTGCCTGGCTCCCAAGCCCCCCAAGGCTCTGGGTGGTGGCAACCGGGCATGTTGAAGCTGCACAGCGGCCCTGCCATTTGAGAGGTAGTGGCAGCCTTGCCCCCTGAATCTGTGTAGTCTGGGCCTGTGGTGGGAGTGGCAGCCCAATGATCTCTGAATCACCTTCAGAGTCATTCCCCCCTTTTCTTGAAGGCAATGCATGTTTGCAGCTGCGTAGCTCTCTGGTTCCATCTGTAAAATAACAGTAGTCCAGCAGCCTTGCTTCATTCAGTCCCGTTTTCTCTGTCCCCTTTGGTTCCAGCTGGCAGTGTTTCTGCCATTATAATCCCATCTCTATTCCTGGCTTCTGCTGAGGTGGTTTAAAATTAAAATATGTACGATTTGGAGGGGCCAAGCATTGGTAAAAAGAAGAGCAGGACTGGAAGTAAAGAATAAAATTTATTGGGCTTCCCTGGTGGTGCAGTGGTTGGGAGTCCGCCTGCCGACGCGGGGGGCGCGGGTTCGTGCCGCGGTCTGGGAGGATCCCGCGTGCCGAGGAGCGGCTGGGCCCGTGAGCCGTGGCCGCTGGGCCTGTGCGTCCGGAGCCTGTGCTCTGTGGCAGTGAGAGGCCCGCGTGCAGCAAAAGAAAAAAAAAAAATAATAATAATATTTATTGACCTCTTGGTATGGGTCCAACACTATTCTAGGTACTAAACAGAGTTTCAGGAGAATTTGACATCTATTAAATGAAAAACGATTCTCTAGAGTGAAAGTCTTGTTAGTCAGGAAAAGTGGACCTAGAGTTCTTTTTAACATGTTTATTTTAGTAACAAATTATTTTTATAACTTAAATTCTATAGAAACTTCTTGGTATTTAATAAATTTGCTATAGGACCACACAAAGAAGGCCTTATGCTTGTAGGTAGCAGGAAGCTTATAGAGAAGAAAATTTATAGAGAAAAATTCAGCACCTCTCTGTGAGCCAGAATATTTTAATAGAAATGGAAGAGTTTAGAGCCGAGAGAGAAAAATTGTAGCTGGTCTGAGATGAAAAAGGTGAAGGAATTAAGATGTGATGTGAATGCAATGCAAGTCAGTGATGAATGATTTCTTTTTCTTTTAGATCCCATGCCAAAAGGCTATGAGCAATATTATGGCTTCACACAGTTTGCACTGGAATTAAACGAAATGGATCCATTGTTAAAGTCTTTATTACCACCTACTGACACTCGATTCAGGCCAGACCAAAGGTAAGGATTTTTTTCAGATCTTTATCTCCAGAGATGTGAAACTCTTTGTGAAAAGTCTTGGTAACATCTCCCAGGCCACCAAAGGAGCCTAAGAGAGAGAGATTCTGTCATCAAGAGCAGAGGTCTAGGGAGACTTTAAGCCATCTTGTGGAAGGAACAGAGCCCAGCTTAGATCTGTGTGTGGCATGACCTTTATTCACCAGTAGAACCCCATTTCTATTGGAAAAAAAAAAGTCTTTTTTTAAAGAGTTTCACTGCATACAGCAATAAGAAAAAGTTACTCTGTATTTGAAAGAGTAAAAGCATCCAGCTCCCCACCCCTCGAATTTAACTTACTTTGGTGCACTGAAATCTAACTTCTGATCCTAGGTTTGCTGCTGACAAGCTGTGTCGCATACGCTAAGTCTTTTAACCTTTCTCAGCCTCAGTTTCCAACTCTGTAAAACAGAAAGAAGAATCTCTCTCCTAAGGCCTTTCTAATTAAGACTCAAAACCAAGAAGGCAAAAAATAAAACAAAATTGATAAAATTTGACTTTATTTTTAAAAAACCCAGCACGCTTCTTCATGGTAAAGTAAATAAAATGTATACCCAGAGTCAAAAGATTAACGACTGAGAAATCTATACTTGCAGCTCACTTCATGAATTGGTTCTAGAAATCAAGATCAATCCATTAAAAAAAAAATAGACATAGGGAAATGAACAGTTCACAAAATAGGAAATGCAGGTAGCCCTTAAACATATGAAAAGATGCTCAGTCTTACTCAAAAAAACCCACAAAATTTTAAAACCACGCTGTCATACCATTTCTTTACCTATCAGATGGCAAAGACTCAAAAGTTTGATGCACTCTGAGGCCACGGGGAAGAGGCACTTCAGTAACATTGCTGGTGGAAATGTAAATTGCTGTAATCCCCATAAAGGGCAGTTTGGTAATAGATATATTACAAACTCACCCTTTAAGCCAGCAATTCCACTTCTAGAACTGTCTCCTGAGAGATATACTAACACATGTGCAAAATGACAGATATATACAGTCCTTCAGCATTAATTTTAAAAATTAATGTAAAAAATTGGGAACATCCCAAATGTCTATCAATAGGAAATTGTTTAAAATAAATGCAGGTGTATCCACACAATTGAATATTATATATCTATTAAAAGTGAAAAGATCTGTGTACTACCAAGAATCAGCTCCAAGGTATATGGTTAAGTAAAAAGTAAAACAAAACAAGATACCAAATTATGGACAGTATGTGTCACCTGCTTCCGTTTATGTTCTTAAAAGGGAGGGAGGGGTAAAAATATATATTAATGTGTGTTTATATACGAATCAGGAAGCTCTAGAAGGATGCACAAGAAACCGGTAATGGTGGATTACCTGCGGTGGGGGGTGTGAATGTGGGTGGGATGGGGAGGAAACAGGTAGAACTGGAGACAGGAATGAGAGAGGGAGATGTTACCCCAAATTCCTTTTCATAGATATAATTTTTTGAACCATGTCTGTATCACCAATTCAGAACACAATACTGTCCCTCATTACCTCCAAATAATGTTTTAAGGGTTGAGGAGGGGGCTTATGTATAGGAGAGTATTCTGAATATCCAGTCTTGTACACATGCAGTTCTAATATTAATGATTGTTACATTTCCTTGGTGTTCCTATTCCTTTATCTTTTTCCTCAATGCCTCAGGTTTCTAGAAGAAGGGAGCTTAGAAGAGGCCGAAATACAAAAGCAGAGGATTGAACAGCTGCAGAGAGAAAGGCGGCGGGTCTTGGAAGAAAATAAGGTGGAGCACCAGCCACGGTTTTTCAGGTATGTGTGCAGCTGGGGTCGTGTGGGTCATTTTTGGCAGGCACTGGTGACGCCTGATGCTTCTGGTGTGAAGAGAACAGACTGGGGTGTCCCCTCCCCACGAGAGAGTGTTCTCAGCCCTTTTCCTGCTTCAGAGTGGTGACATCCCTCCTCTGTGAAGGCCTGACTTTGTGGGGACACTGCCCCCAGGCTGCCCCACGCAGCCCTCCTTTTTTACATTCCTTGGTCTCTCCCTGGGCTCTCCCGGGACTTTGCAGAGAGGTGCTCAGTAAGTGCTTGTGGGAGAAGCAACGAGACCAACAAAACCCAGCTCCCAGTACCAGGCCAGCTTATTCAAGCCATGTCTAAGGTTGGTCCCCCAAATGGATAGATTCTACACAGTGATGGAGATAATTAGCTATCACCCCATTCTTCACCAAACTAGAACTTCCAAGTAACCTAATTCTTGAATTGCAGAAGTTCCAATATACTGGGGCTTGGATTTGGAACATTTAGTATTATTTTAAAAATAGCTTGCTAGGAGGGCCTCGTTAAGAACAGACTGAAAGATTTAGAAGGGGCGTCAGAGATCATCCGCCCTTCACCCCTTCTCTTATTTTAACTGCAAAGAAACGAAGGCCCAGGGGACATAGGTGATCTGTGGAGAGACCCAGTGGAATGTCCCAGGCAGGGGCCTGGCTCTCTTGACTACAGGCCAGGGCTTGATATGATTTTAGGGGGTTTTAGTTTGTTCATTTTTTTTTAAAATCAGCAATGGAACAATCACATGTAGAAAAGCAGCCAGCTCCTGCCCTACCTATTCCCCCCAGTCTTCTTTTCAGGATTTTGTTGTTGTTTGCAGGGATTTTTTGGTTGTTATTATTTTTTAATGGGCAACAGAAACACATTTAGGAGGATTTAGCAACTAATCTATCAGCTGCATCAATAAAATTTTGTATTTCCAAAACAGCAAAATAGCAACAAGTTATGTTTTATCCCCAAAGTATTATATCCTTTCCCCTAAAGTTGATGTGGATTTTGATCATTTCACAAACTCAGAATATGAGTGATTGAAGATCAGTAGGCCAGAGTTTTATCCCAGAATATTCATAACTTCATTTAAACATTTAAAAAATAAGACACCTTAAATTTTTTTTTTTTTTATAAAGGCAAGGGATAGGTAAATGAATAGACTAACAGACTGATCAGTTGATTTTGGTAATATCTGTTAAAGAGGTTCATTACAGTATTTTTAGGATCGTTAAAAATTGTGGATAACCAAACTGTCTCAGGAGCTAGATAAGGAGATTTATCAACTTGATCTGATGTAAAAACCTCAGAAATGACTTCACACAGTCTGTGGAGCTCTGTGGGAAATGAACTAACATGTAAATACAAAATATAAAATGTTATCTGGGCTGTCACTGCAACCGTGTAAGAATTATGTCTGGAATGGGCAAGGACTGAACACAGCTGCAGTTCTTTTTCCTCTTCATTGTCTGTAAAATTATCAGAGTATTAGATGTGGCAAGTAAAACTATGAGAAAAGGTGAGAATTGTTCAGCAGTAGCAGTCCGGGAACTGTTCCAATTAGACGCTGGCAGAGATGACAGAGGAGCATGGGGACTTGGACATTTCCGTTGACACTCACTGAGGAGCCACGAAAACATCACTGGAAATTTCAAGTGGAAACTACAGCTCTGGCAGCGATAGTCGTCTTTGTTTCATAGTAAAGTATCTGATATGCAGATTGATTTATTTTTAAACACATCCCTTTATTGGAATAGAAAAACAATTGTGATAAAAATCTATGATCCTGAGAATGTGGAAAAATAGGCACTCCTCACTTTTGTTTCTAAAGCATATGACAATATCAGTCAACATTACAAGTGCACGGAAGTTCAGTTTATAGGAATTTTTAATATAACTAATCTCTTGCACATACAAAATAACATATGTTTTGTTTATAATAGCTAGAGGTTGAAAACAACATCCTCAGTGCCCACCAGTAGGGTACTGGTTAAATCGTGGTCCATCCCCACAATGGACTATCATGCACCTGTTTAAAAAGAAAAAAAGGAAGCCCTTTTTGCCAAAGTCACCAAACTTTTCCTGCAAAGGGCAAATGGTGAATATTGTTAGCTTTGCAGGCCATGAGCCCTCAGTAGTAATGACTCAACCCTGCTGTGCAATGTGAAAGCAGCCATAGACAGTACTTAAATGAATGGGCATGATGTGTTCCAGTAAAACGGTATTACAGAGATAGGCCGAAGGCTGGATTTGGCCCTTGGGCTGTAGTTTGCTGACCTTATTGTGACAATGGAAAAGGATCTCTAATATATATGTTATATATATAAACTCAAGGCTTCCCTGGTGGCGCAGTGGTTGAGAGTCCACCTGCCGATGCAGGGGACACAGGTTCGTGCCCCGGTCCGGGAAGATCCCACATGCCGCAGAGCGGCCGGGCCCGTGAGCCATGGCCGCTGAGCCTGCGCATCCGGAGCCTGTGCTCCACAATGGGAGAGGCCACAGCAGTGAGAGGCCCGCATACCGCAAAAAAAACCCAAAAAAACAAAAAAACTCAAGGGGTGGAAGACCATCCAGGGCTACCCTTGAATGAAAAATAGGAGAGGAGTGAAGTGTGAGTGTGCATGTGTGCACGCTCACACACGTGGAATTTCTCTGAGTGAAGCTGCTAAAGATCATTGTCTCTGCAGAGAACTGGGAGGCTGGGAGTAGGAAGAAAACATTCAGCTCTCCACTCTTTGGTACCTTTTGAATTTGGATCTACGTAATATATTATCTATGCATAGAATAATAGTGAACCAAGGCTGTTCACTCCAGGCTGTGATTCCAGTTCCTTCCAATTCCTTTCCTTTTTACTGTTAATTGATCACTTGATTTGAACAATGTGATTGATTTGTAACTTTTACGTGGCCATACCCCAGGTGGTAGCTGTCGTCCCAGCCCTGTTTTCTGTACGACAGACTCTACCCTCACCCACTTCTCTCAGAAGCACCCATTTCTCACAGCCTTAAGTTGGAGAAGTCAAAGTCAGAAGCAGCAAAACGGTTTCCAGGCTTCCTGCTCCCTCGCTGGTCCAGTACTGGACCACAGGGACAGGGGTGCAGGTGCCAGTGATAAGCTGGAGAGGGCGGGCAGGGGAGGAACGGGGTGAAAAGGAGACAGAGACTATGACAGTCTTGTCACGAGCCTTCAGCAAATTCTTTCACTTTCACAGGAAATCCAGCGATGACTCTTGGGTGAGCAGTGGCACCTATTTGGAACTTAGGAAAGATCTTGGTTTTTCCAAACTGGACCATCCTGTCTTGTGGTAAAAGAGGAAAGAGCGATACATCTTTGTGCTTCTCCCGTGTTTGCTTTCTGAAGCCACAAACCTGTGTCTACAACATTACCTAGAACGATCACTTGTGCTTCTTAGCTTGGTGTTGTGTTTAAGTATATATTTTCTTCAGTACGTTTCTTTGCAATTTCAAATGTTATCACAACTGTTTATATGAATGTAGAACACCTTGATATTTCTTTTTATATATAAACTATTTAATAAGAATGAAAGATTGAATGTTAACATGTGGGTTAAAAAAGAAGCTTTAACACTAACTTTCCAAAGGTTAGGAAAATTCCAATTAAATTTATGCCTTATAAAATTATGTTGGAAAAAAAAATCCATCTTTCCCAGGTGCGTTAAGAAATAAGAATACAAAGGGTTACTCACCTGTGTGCAAGCTGCCCAGGTTTAATTTGGTAGCTCAGATATCTTTTTGCCTCAGACAACTTTTGAATTGCTCACACAGAACAATTCTGCTGGTACTGGAGTCTGAAGAATATTTGCATTTGCGTTTTAGTGCTTGGGGGAATGGTATACGATTAGTGGGATGTCTGTTTTTATATAAGATGGATATGGCAGCTTCTCAAAGAGGAAGCATTCGAACTCATCCCTCCCTATAGTTTCATTGCCTTATGTGCAAAATTGTACCGTTACTCAGAAAAATTGTTGATAATCCGAGAAACCCCTGTTAATTAAATGTCAAAATGAAATCCCAGGCGGACAGTAGGAAATTTCTCCTTAGTGAGAGCTGAATCCATTACAAGTTAAGAAACTGTTTTCTGCTTCCCACCCCACCTCTAGCCTCCTCCGCTGTTTGACCACATCTCTGTTGAATATGGAATGTCCCAATTTAGTGTAAAACATAGGTGCATTCAACATGGCAGTTTGACTTTCCAAAAGTTTAGCCAAGTAACTGATTGTTTTAAATAATTCAACATGTTTTTCTTAAATAGTGTTTTGGTATTTTCTACCTCTCAATAAGCACCATATTTTAGATCTTGTATGAAAAGTTTGACCACCTGCCTTATAGACAAATGTAGAGAATTGATGCTCTTCCTTTGTGTTATGTCCTGGTAAAGCTTTAAGTGTCTTATCGCTTTCCTACACTTCTTCTTACTCATATCACTCTTTTGTGAGTTTTGCAGCAGTCTTGAATAATACAGACTATAACTACTGAAAGGAGAAACTTCGCCTTTTTAAATGTGTTATTTCCGATTACTATAATAGAATTTGTGCAGTAGTTGAATTGTGTGATCAAAGCAATTCTAACTTCTGCCCAGATTACTTTAAAACCAAAGCCTACGTTTGAAGCCTTTTCCTCTAAAGTCCATGACGATTTTATGTAATATCAAGTAAAGTGGTGTGGTAAAAAGATTTCTCCAGAAAACATTTTTAGATATTTAAATAATTTCAGAGAATGCTACGAGTGAAAAGTAGAATAAATAATGGAAAAAAGAATGCATGATTTTTCAATGTCACACCAAATAACTAGTTGGAGAGTATTGCACTTTCAAAATGGAGAGTTATCTAAAGTGGGTCAGTAGCCTTTTGGAATCTGCAAGTGACTAGCATTTTAAAACAATACACGACTCATTAAATATTGCTTTCATCCATTCCATGCATCAAGACGTCAAGATGAACACAGTTCGAATATCATTTCCATTTCTAAGCAGTTAACTGACCCAATCACATTCTTTGGTTATGTGCTTTGTTCTTTTCTTTTCAAGCATGTATCTAAATTCTCCTCACAGACGGGAAGAAGCAGGCTGTAGATTTTAAGGATACTCCAGGGGAGAACAAATCTAGTTTTCACAGTGTGAAGGTAAATGTAGAACTTGAGTAATACTGACTGTTATAGGCCTACTCCAGGGGCTGGCTCAAAACAAAAACAGAAAGAAAACATGCAGCCTGAATGGACGTGGCTTTGTCATGCAGTCTTTGGAAAGTCTTTAATTGTCCTGATGCTGTTATTTCAGTTGATCTTATGTTTCATTTTGTAATCACGAGGATCAAGGGACCAAATATCACCTTTGTAGTCATCTTATTTGAGATGGGAGGGGGGCTGAATTTGAATATGTATGCAAATTTTAAAGTCTATTAGTACCTACATCTATAAAGGGCTTTTCTGAAATTTAAGCAGCTTGGTGATGCATCCTATTATAATCCTCAAATTCCCTTGAGAGGGAAATGGCTTCTTTTTTCCTTCAGCCTCTATTCTCAAAAGCATCCTCTCACCTAATTTGTATCTCAAGGACATTTTATATTCTTAGGATGAAGAAAACAGAAACATGGCATTGTTTGGGAAGAATTGAGGTAGAATTGACTTTGGATTTTGAATCTCCCGATTGCATAATGCCAATCACTGCATCACTTGAGGTACATGTTGTAACCTCCATTTCATTCCTTATCATCCCATCCCAAATGTATGGTGAACTGCACAGCTGTTCTTGGAAATGGGGCCTTGTACAGTCAGCCACGTTACACTTCCAGGGTTCCTGTTGCCCCTGCCAGTTATCCGAAGCTGCGGGACACGCTTCAGTAAGGAGCCACCGTCTCCAGGGCAGCCTGGCAGCAGGTCACTCCCTCCCCAGGCCCCAAAGCCTAGGCTGGTATTTCCTGGAGTCAAACTCAATAATCAAAGCCTCAGTGCATCTCCTCCATGCCATGCACCTCCCAGAAGCCAGGCTGCTTCTGGTACTAATTAAACACATGGAGTTCACTTTAGGACAACCGTCCGTTATGTATCAGGTCCTCACAGAATGCCCAGAAAGCCCTCATGGCCTCCTGTGCTTCCTGTGAGGTTCTCTGGGAGAGAAAAGTAGACAAACCAACTTTTAAAAATATATATTTGCTTCATTTGGGCTGCTGCTTTTCTCACATTCTACCTTTAACTACTTCCAGTAAATCATTGGCTTGGGCTTTGCGAGCGCTATCCATCTGTATTCCTTAGATTTATGAGTGGTCTTATCCTACTATTAACAGCGTCAACCCGAAGAGAAAAATGATAAAGTATACAGTTTTTATTTGGCTGTTGAAACTTGTCGTAGGTCTACTGCATACTCTGTAAGTTATGCCTTCCAGCTATCACAGGATTTCCTCAGAGCTTTTAGTTATGAGTAGGAGCAATAAGCAGTTGTTCTCATGATCTTAGGAATAATAGTTCCAATGTATTGGCGTCATTTATTTGAATGTCTTTAATTTTGATATTAACATCGGCATACCTCTATTTTTGCTACCAAATGACAGCTATTTTCATGTGCTCAATTTTCCCTACATTGTATTCATCTGTTGCTTAGTGTTTGTCTTTACTTTTCTGTGTTGGAAATATATATATATCACATAAGTCTGCAAATTGCAGCAGTCTGAAATGCAAACCATTTTCAGAGACTTTGGTGTTGAGGAATGCAATGATCAGGAGTTGTTAATTTATTTTATTCATGATGATTTTATCTTCCTCACTTACCCTCAGAGGATACTATTTTTTTTAATGGATATTTGTAAATCTTTCATCTAACCATTTATAAGATTATTTTCTGTTTAAAATACCAGCCTTCCACCCATCCCCTTACGCGTCCCCCAAAAGCTCTGACTAATTTGTTTTTCCCCCTCGTGAAACTAGTTGACTGTGAATAAATAACATGGAAAAAGGCCGCTCCTGTCGTTGTGTTTCCAGGTTAATGGGCATATGTGGCTGCTGAACGGACAGAGCAAGACTCTAGCTGAGACTTTGCTGAGGGAGAAACACACAAGATTAGCTCAAGGGATGGGGTTGGAAATAAAAAATACCCCAGGACATAAAGAAGCCTGGAAACTTTGGCAAAAGTTGCCATACTTTTGGTCTGAACATTTCCAAGGTGTACTGCAAATGTAGGTCCCCCAGCCTTTGGGACAGAGGACCTGAGGCAGCTAGATCCCCAGACAGCCCCCAAAGAAGCCCTGTCTGTTCAACCCAGCGTGCTATGGAAATATTATTTTCTGTGTGTCCTAACATGAAAAAGGAAAATGCCGACTAGTCACACTGATTTAATGGCCCTTACGAATGGCTGACTCATCTCCCACACCCAACTTGTGTCCTTAGCAATGCCCCAAACACTTAACCTTCCCTGAAGTCCCATTCGAGTGAGTTCCTATATTTATGGTGTTACGCACGCACTGGATCTCAGTTACACACATAAGGTCACATCTCTGCCTCCCCCAAAGCGCTAAAGAGACAACCAAAAGCAATTCATGAACCTTGATTGGATCCTAGCTTAAAAGAAAAGAAAAACAAGCTATAAAAGACATTTTGAGGGCAATTAGTGACATTTGCATATAAACATCGTGAAATTATTGCTAATTTCCATATATGTATATGATATTGCCTGTTGATCTGTATCAAATCTGCCATCAAAGAAGGACTGACATTATTCCAAATAATACGAACACTAAAGGAAACCTTAAAAGGCAACCTCAGGCCATTTTAACGTGCCGGCCATGATTGGAATAGATATTAAAGCATCCTAAGGTGTTGACTTTGAGGAAGCAATGAAATTTGAAGGTACAAGTTTTCGGCCTTTAGTTTAGGAACTCAGTCGTATTATTTTCTAGTCATACTGATGGAATACCTGCACTAATATAATGTCCATCAGTGACCAGCAAATCAGGACATCATGGTCCTAGCTGACACCAGTCAGGAGTTTCTTATTATGGACTAATTAGTTGGAGTCCCTGCAGGAAAGCGAATCCAACTCCATAGCTCAGGAGATTTAAATGAAGGGCTACTTGCAGGGCTATTAGCGGGATTAAGGCATATCAGCAACAGCTGGAAGTTGTAACCGCCCCTGCAGGAGCTGGAGCTCCGAGGAGGGAAGGGTGGTCAGGAGCTCTAGTGGAGGGACGTTCGGCCTCTGCCAGAAAATCCAGTCGAGCGTCAGGAAGAGGTCTCCCAACCTCGGTCTCCTCTGGCCGCCATTCTCCCTGGTGGCTGAACTCAAGTGGATACAAGCCCCAAAGTGCAGGAGGAGGCCCCGGGCCAACAGAGAAACAAGCACCTGGACCTTATATTCACCGGCATCTTCACGTCTGAGCTGTCAGAGGAATTTTCAGTAAGTAAATAGGCTTCAGGGCCAATTTTTTTTAGAGGATAGAATTTATTTTGGCTCCCAGTTATTTTACCAAGGATGAATTATGATTAACTGTGCTTTTTAAAAACTGGTTCTCCATGATATTACTGTTGTTGTAACACTTTTAATGAGTTAAGGGCAGCCTCTCTTTATTAAATGCCATAGTTTAAACAGGTATCAGACTGGAAAAAACATGTCAGCTTAAGCAGCAATTCTCAAATTTGGCTGATGTCCTGGGGGGTTTCACACACACACACACACACACACAGACACACACACACACACAGACACACACACACACTTCCTCTGGGTGGTACACACACACACACACACACACTGTCGGTGGTACACACACACACACACACACATTTCCTCTGGGTGGTTCAGACCCAGACAGCCTCACACAGTCTGTTGACCAGCATTTGCTCACCACAGAGCAGGCACACCACTTTCTAACTTCATGATTGTTCTAGGACTTAGAAAATGGCATGTTGGTAAGAACTGTGTGTTTCTTTTCATGACATTTCACTCATTGCTTTTGTGCTTTATTTGAGATGTAAAGTTAGGGGCCTTGACACTCGTGGGTACTTTATAACACAGGGGTCCCCAACCCCCAGGTCCTGGACCAGTACCTTCCTTGGCCTGTTAGGAACTGGCCGCACAGCAGGAGGTGAGCGTGGGAAGCTTCCTCTACCACTCCCATCGCTCGCATGACCGCCTGGACCACTTTCCCCCTCAATCATCCGTGGAAAAATTGTCTTCTACAAAACCAGTCCCTGGTGCCAGAAAGGGTGGGGACCGCTGCTTTAACAAGGGCCTGCGGACAGGGAGCGAGTAGCAGCGGCTGTGATGGATGCTTTCTTTGAAGAGTATATACTGAGCCAGGAATGGTCCCAGACACGGGCAATACATGGCCTTCCTCCTTGAGAAGCTTCCAGTCTTCTGGGAAGCCAGTGGGTCAGTGAGAAACTGCAGTACGTAAGAAGGCTCTTGGTTGTGGTAAGAGGATGCCCACGTGATGAGGGGAGAGGTGACGGGGCTCAACCACACTGCAGACATGGCCTGAGAGGAGGGCCGGATCACAGAGCCAGTGAAGGGAAGTGGCCAGGGAAGTCTGGGTGAGGGGGGAGAGGAGGCATGGGTGACTCAGGCCAGTTAGACCACGGTACCGCTTCCCAACCAGTGTCACAGTGAAATGTTTTGATGTGTCACAATACCTGGTGTTTCCTCAGCCTGGAGCCATGAGACAAGGGTGGGGAGAAGAAGCAGGCAGTGCCCAGGCATCCGGGGGGGCGAGGGAAACGCCCGAGGACCCCACCTTTCTACCTCTGCGGCAGGGTCACATAAGCTTCCACCTCCAGTGTCCCCTCCCCATACATCCAAACACAGTGTAGTGAGGGAAACGGAGGCCAAGCCTGGGAAATCTAAGAGGTTCACCATGTCTCCAGAAGTGACTGAGAATTACCAGAGCAGATTTTCTAAATTATCAGATTAGACTAAGTTTTTTTTTCTAATTTTTTATTGTGGTAAAAAAAGTTTTATTGAGCTATATTTGATGTATGGCACTGTGTAAGCTGAAGGTGTACAGCATAATTGACTTACATTTATTGTGACATGATCACCACCCTAAGTTTAGTTGACATCCATCTTCTCATATAGATACAAAGAAGAAAAAAAAATGTTTTTTCCTTATGATGAGAATTCTTATGATCTACTCCCTTAACAACTTTCAGACATACCATACAGCAGCATTAGTTCTAGTCATCATGTTGTTTATTACATTCCCAGTACTTATTTATCTCATAACTGGAAGTTTGTACATTTTTGGGTGTGCAGGTCAGTGGCATTAAATGCATTCACGTTCTGCGACCATCACCACTCTCCATCTCCAGAATCTTTTTCATCATCCCATACTGAGATTCTTGTACCTATTTAGACTAAACAACATTGGACCTTGAGTTAATTTTTTTATTGCTAACCAATAGGTGAAGGGCTTGTGAGGAAGACCAGATCAGTTACAAGATGAAAGAATTGCGTTTCTCTCACTTCTGAGTTATAGTGTGTGATAATTTTTCAAACTCACTACCAAAGCCTCACCACAATCCCATTTAGGCAATCCCCATTTAACAGAAGTGTTCACTGAGGACCAGAAGTTAAGCAATTTGACCAAACTCTCCCAACTCCTTAAGAGAGTGGGAATATGAGTGCATGATCGACGTGTTTCAAAACCCAGCTCCTTCTGCTACAGATTGAAATATGTGATCCCAACAACCTTTTCCTTTCCAAGAACTTGTTCTCTAATTTTAGTCCCAAGGTTTCCTTAGGTCTTTGAAGCTGACACAGGGAGCTCATTGGACAGGAAAAGAACCCTGGGATGGGACTTGGGAACCTAATTGTAGTTAATGGTGAGAACTTGTGTAGGTCACTTATCCTCCGCAAATCTCACTCGGCCCCAACATCAAATGAACAGATTGTTATGAAATTTCTCTCTGTGCTGCCATGTTGTGATCTCAAGAATAGGTAGAAATGTTCTTGGGTCAATCAATAAATATTCATGAGCACCAAACGCATGCCAGGCCTAATCTCTGCCCTCGCAGAGCTTACCTACAGATTGCAGAATCTGCCCTAAATTATTCTTTTCTATTCTATCCTGAAAATGGGAAATATTTGGCCATATAGAAGAATTACATTGCTTACTTAGAAAGTACTGTCAGCTTCTGAATCATGTTTTGTGAAATCAAAATGATCCGAGAGTGAACAACAGGCTTCAAAGCCTATTGATACGGTCCTTTGCCTACACATTCATCAAGCCAACAATACAGGGAATACAGGGAGATTTTAAAAATTAAGTTTCTGTTCTTGTGGAGCTTAGAGTCTGTTGGGACAGAGGGTGGGGGCCAGGGGTGGAGACAATGAGCTCATAAACAGATGTGTGGTGTGACAGATGTGAAAGTGCTGTGGAGGAAAATCCTCAAGGACTGTGGGAAGATGAATATTTCAATAGCAAATACAAGTCTGAAGCAGGGATGAGTCTGGTGCATTTGAGGCAAGGAAGCCAGTGCAGGTGGAGAAGTGTGAGTGGGGGAGAGGATGGCAAATCAAAATTAGGGCAGGGAGGTACTTGGGGTCATAGGACTTTGGTTTTTGCTGAATGGGATTAAAAGTCAATAAAGGGTTTTGAGCAGAGGAACGACATGATTTGATTTATGATTTTAAAGGGTCATCTGGCTGCCTGGTGGAGATTGTAGGGGTCACAGGCAAAAACAAGGAGCCCAGTTTGGAGGTTATTGGACTCATCCAGAGAGAGATGGTGGAGGTGCAGACCAGAGTGGAAGTAGTGGAGGGAAGCAGAAAGAAATTGGAAATACTTTGAAGGTAGAATCAACAAGATTGTCCGAAGAGTTGGATTTGGGATGTGGGAGGAGAGAAGTTGAGGATGACTCTAAGGTCTGTGGCCTGAGCCACTAGAAGGATGAAGTTGCCATGAACTGAGATAAGGAAGACTATAGGCAGAGCAGATTTGGGTGCTCTGGTGAAAAAATTAGG